CCTTTTTGACCCATTTCTGTCATTTTTTAAACACTTTTAAGCCATCTTGGGCTATTTCTAAACAGTTTTTGCCATTTCTATCCCTTTTCTGCCCATTTGAAACTCATTTTAAGCCATTTTTGTAACTTCTATCATGTTTTTGCCAATTTTCACCAAATTTTAAGACTTTTTTCCTTTTTTTACTAATTTTTGCCCAATTCTTTCCTGTTTTCAGACATTTTGCCCATTTCTAAGTATTTTGAACCTTTTTTGATTTCCTTTTCCACCATATTTTTCTCATATTTAAAAACTTATCACCCATGTTGGGGTAGAGACCCATAGAGACCCATAGAGACACATAGAGACCATAGAGACACATAGAGCCCATAGAGACCCATAGAGACCCATAGAGACCCATAGAGACACATAGAGACCATAGAGACACATAGAGACACATAGAGACACATAGAGCCCATAGAGACCCATAGAGACCCCATAGAGACCCATAGAGACCCATAGAGACCCCATAGACACCCCATAGACCCCCATAGAGCCCCATAGACCCCCATAGCTGCCCCATAGCTGCCCCATAGCTGCCCCATAGCTGCCCCATAGCTGCCCCATAGCTCCCCACACCTGCTTGTTCATGAGCACGTAGATGACGGGGTTGTAAACCGTGGAGGCCCCCATAGACCCCCATAGCTCTCTCCCCATAGCTGCCCCATAGCTGCCCCATAGAGCCCCATAGAGCCCCATAGACCCCCATAGACCCCCATAGACCCCCATAGACCCCCATATCTCCCTGTACCTGCTTGTTCATGAGCACGTAGATGACGGGGTTGTAAACCGTGGAGGCCTTGGAGAAGACGGAGGGCACGGAGGCGAGGGCGGGCTCGAGGGCGCGGCCGCGGTTGGCCACGGCCCAGAGCGCGAAGGCGGCGTAGGGCCCCCAGCAGGCCAGGAAGCCCAGCACCATGACCACCACCATGCGCGAGACCTCGCGCTCCGCCTTCTGCGTGCTGGCCGACTGCTCCTGCTGGCGAGCCACCTGCAGGGCAATGGGGAGATCAATATGGGTGATATATGGGGCTCTATGGGGGGATATGGGGCACCCGGAGCCATAGCATCAACAGTGACTGCTCCTGCTGGCGAGCCACCTGAGAGAGGGAGACATGGGGCTCTATGGGGAGATATGGGGTATCTATGGGGCTCTATGGGGCACCCGGAGCCATAGCATCAACAGTGACTGCTCCTGCTGGCGGGCCACCTGCGGGGGGATAGAGAGATAGCTATGGGGCTCTATGGGTATCTATGGGGTATCTATGGGGCTCTATGGGGTATCTATGGGGTATCTATGGGGGGATATGGGGCACCCGGGGCCATAGCATCAACAGTGACTGCTCCTGCTGCCGGGCCACCTGAGAGAGAGGGATATGGGTGTCTATGGGGGTCTATGGGGGGTCTATGGGGTATCTATGGGGCACCCGGAGCCATAGCATCAACAGTGACTGCTCCTGCTGACGTGCCACCTGACAGAGAGAGAGATATGGGGTGTCTATGTGGTGTCTATGGGTGCTATGTGTCGCTGTGTCCGCTATGGGTCGCTATGTGTCGCTATGGGTCGCTATGGGTGCTATGTGTCCCTGTGTCCGCTGCGGGGCGCTGCGGGGCGCACCTTGCGCAGGGTGAGCAGGAGGCGGCCGTAGCAGAAGACGATGACGCTGAGGGGGACCCCGAAGCAGAAGAGGAAGAGGAAGAGGACGTAGGACTCGTTGTGCCAGCGGTTGTTGGTGGTGTACCAGTCCGGGCCGCAGGAGCACTGCAGCCCCTCGGGGATGTACCTGAGCCAAGGGCACGGCACGGGAGGACACCGCAGGGCACCGGAGAACACGGGAGAACACAGGATAACACATGATAACATGGGATAACACCGGATAACACATGATAACATGTGATAACACCGGATAGCACGGGAGGACACAGGGTAACATGGGAGAACATGAGATAACATGGGAGAACACGTGATAACACATGATAACACAAGATAACACGGGAGAACATGGGATAACATGTGATAAGATGGGAGAACATGGGATAACACAGGATAACATGGGATAACATGTGATAACACAGGAGAACATGGGAGAACACAGGACAACACAGGATAAAATGGAGCAGCATGTGATAATGTGTAATAATGTAAGACAACATCAGACAACATCAGACAACCTGTGTCAACATGCAATAACTTGTAATAGCATGCAACAACACAGAACAACATGTGACACCGTGCTCCAACGTGCTCCTACATGCGCCAAGACCTCAAGCCCCGCCCTCCGAGCCAAGCCCCGCCCCTCTCATCGGGCCCCGCCCCTCCAGCCCTCAATCACCTCTCTTCCCCTCAAGCCCTGCCCCTACCACCAAACCCCGCCCCTTCCCCAAGACCCGCCCATTTTCTGTCAAGCTCTCCTTTACACCCCTCCCCCTTTCCCCAAGCACCTCCCTTCCGCTCAAGCCCCGCCCCTTCCCCTCAGCCCCCACCCCTGTCACAAGCCCCGCCCCTTCCCCCTCAAGCTCCGCCCTCCTTTATAAACCCGCCCTTCCCCGAGCACCTCCCTCCCCCTCAGCCCCTGCCCACTTTCCCCAAGCACCTCCCTTCCCCTCAAGCCCCGCCCCTCTCCCCTCAACCCCCGCCCTTTCCCCTCAGGTCCCGGCCCTTCCCCTGAGCCCCCGCCCCTCTCCCCAAGCCCCGCCCCGTTCCCGAGGCCCCGCCCCGTTCCCGAGGCCCCGCCCCTACCGGCTCCATCCCAGCAGCGGGGGCGTGGCCGCAGCGAGGCCGCAGGCCCAGGTGAGGGCGCAGCCGAGCAGGGCGTGGCCCGGCCGGAAGGAGAAGGAGCCCAGGGGCTTGCAGATGACCAGGAACCGCTCGAAGGCCACCACGGCCAAGGACCAGAGGCTCACCATGCCTGGGGGGGTACATACACACACATAGCATGGGGTACATGAGGGGGTACATGGGGTACATGGGGTACATGATGGGGATACAGGGGACACATCATCATGGGGTACAGCAGGTAACGAGGAACCGCTTGAAGGCCACCACGGCCAAGGACCAGAGGCTCACCATGCCTGGGACACACACACATACACATACACACACATACACATACATACACATACATACACATACATACACATACATACACATACATACACATACATACACACAGCATGGGGTACATGGGGTACAACATGGGGTACATGATGGGGATACAGGGGATACAGGGGACACGTCATCATGGGGTACAGCAGGTAACGAGGAACCGCTCGAAGGCCACCACGGCCAAGGACCAGAGGCTCACCATGCCTGGGACACACACACATACACATACACACACATACACATACATACACATACATACACATACATACATACAGCATGGGGTACATTATCATGGGGTACATCATCATGGGGTACATGAGGGGATACGTCATGGCATACATGAGGGGATACATGGGATACGTCATGGGATGCATCATGGAATGCATCATCACAGGGTATGTCATCATGGGGTACATCATGGGATACATGAGGGGATACATGATGGGATACATGGGATACATGAGAGATATGATGGGATACACAAGATATATGGGATAAATGGGATGTATGGGATATATGATGGGATATATGATGGGATACACAAAATACACAGGATACATGATAGGATGTACAGGAGATATGGGAGATATGGGAGATATGGGGGACAGGGTTAGGGGATAGAGGGAGATACAGAGACATGGGTATGGGATAGGGATACAAGGACATGGGATACGGATACATGGGTATGGGATAGGGAGATACAGAGACATGGACATGGGATAGGGATAGGGAGACAGGGACACATGGGATACAGGGATATGGGATAGAGAAATACAGAGACATGGATATGGGATAAGGATATAGGATAGGGAGACAAGGATATGGGATATGGATGCGGGATGCAGGACACCAGCACAGTGACACCGTGGCCACGCCTCCAGCCCCACACCCGCGTTCCCATCACCCCCATCCCCATCACCCTCACCCCCATCCCATCCCCATCACCCCTGCCCCATCCCCACCATCCCCATCACCCCCATCCCCATTGCCCTCATTCCCACCCCAACATCCCCACGCTCCTGTGTCCTTCTGCACCACATCCCCACCCCCACATCACCCCCACCCCATCCCTGCCACCCCCATCCTCACCCCATCCCCATCCCATCCCCATCCCCATCCCCATCCCCATCCCCATCCCATCCCATCCCCACCCCATCCCCATCCCATCCCCATCCCCATCCCATCCCCATCCCATCCCCATCCCATCCCATCCCCCCCCATCCCCATCCCATCCCCATCCCCATCCCCATCCCCATTCCCATCCCATCCCAACCATCACCACCATCCCATCTCGTCCCCATCCCCATCCCATTCCCACCCCATTGCCCCCATCCCATCCCATCCCCATTCCCCATCTCCATTCCCCCATGCCCACCCCATCCCCATCCCCATCCCCATCCCCCCATCCCATCCCACCCCATCCCCACCCCATCCCCATCCCCATTTCCATCCCATCCCAACCATCACCCCCATCCCATCCCCATCCCATCCCCATCCCATCCCCAACCCCCCATCCCCATTCCCCCATCTCCATTCCCCCATGCCCACCCCATTCCCACCCCATTGCCCCCATCCCATCCCCCTGCCCTGCGCACCTCCGAGGGTGGCCATGAAGCCCTCCAGCTTGCAGGCCGCCGGCCCCAGTACAAAGTATGTCCTGGCGAAGCAGTAGGCGGCGGTGGTGGAGCCCACGAGCAGCACGAGCAGGTTGGCCAGCGCCAGGTTCACCAGGATGTAGTTGAGGTGGGAGCGGAGCTTGCGGTACCGCGCGCTGCAGGCGATGGTGAGCGCGTTCACCGGCACCCCCAGCGCCACCAGCGCCGCCATGAAGGCCGCCATGGCGCCAAAGAGCCCCGCGCTGCCCAGGTGCGTCTGCGGCACCAGGAAGGGGCTCAGGGCCGAGAGGTTCCCCCCCGGCACCGCCATGGGGAGGTAGAAATCATCGGGGAGCTCATCGGGGGGGAGCATGGTCATGGGGGGGATGGGATGGGATGGATGGGAATGGGAATGGATTGGAATGGAAATGGATGGGATGGGAATGGATGGGATGGGAGTCAATGGGATGGGGTGGGAATGGATTGGATGGGATGGGATGGATGGGGATTGATGGGGTGAATGGGGTGGGGATGGATGGGATGGGTTGGATTGGATTGGATGGGATGGCTTGGATGGGGTGGGAATGGATGGAGATGAATGGGATGGGGATGGGATGGGTATGGATGGAATGGGATGGATGAGAGGGGGATGGAATGGATAGGTTGAATTGGATGGATGGGATGGGGTGGGAATCAAATTAATGGGTTGGATTGGATGGGATGGGAATCAACGGGACAGGATGGGGTTGATTAGATGGGATGGGAATGGATGGGATGGGGATGGACTGAGTGGGATGGGATGAGTGGGATGGGGTGGGAATAGATGGGACAGGAATCGATGGAACAGGATGGGGTGGATTAGATGGGATGGGAACGGATGGGATGGGGTTAGAATGGATGGGATGGGGTGTGATGGATGGGATGGGAATGGAATGGATAGGGTGGATTTGGTGAGATGGGATGGATGGGATGGGGACGGATGGGATGGGGCTGTGGGATGGGTGTGATGGAATGGATGGATAGAGGAATGGAGATTTGGGATGGACGGACACAGGGATGGATGCGATGGGATGGACGGACACCTGGGTAGAGGATTGGGATGGACAGATGGGGGGATGAGGGTTTAGGGCAGATGGAATGGGATGGACGGAGGAGGGATGGGGCTTTGGGATGGATGAGCTCCGGGATGGATGGGAATGGGATGGATGGGAATGATGGGCACTAGGATGGATGGGATGGGATTGGATGGGATGGGATGGATGGAATGGGATGGATCGGATGGGACGGGATGGATGGGCACAAGGATGGATGGAATGGGATGGATGGGATGGATGGAACGGGATGGATTGATGGGATGGGATTGGATGGGCACAAGGATGGACGGGATTGGATGGATGGGATGGGACGGGATGGGGTGGACGGGCACACGGATGGACGGGATTGGATGGAGGGGCCCAGGAGCGGCCGCGCGGTGCCGGGTACCGGCCCCAATGGATGCGGCTGGGTCGGGGGCTCCCGGGGGGACCCTTTTATCCCGCGGGGCCGATCCGGCTCATCCGGGTTTTACCACCCGGGAAGCGGCTTTGGGGCCGGTAATCGGGATCAGCGCCGGGATGAGGCCGGGATCAAACCGGGATCAGCGCCGGGATCAGCACCGGCACCTCCAATGGGCGCCAATGGGGACCCCCCAATCCCGCCCCACGGCACCCCCAAAGTGACTCCATCCTGCGGCCCCCCTGCACCCCAAACCCGGGTGGGGGAAGGACCCATGGGGACAATGGGGTCCAATGGGGGGGTCCATGTGGTCAATGGGGGGGTCCGGGGGGGGGGGGGGGGGGGGCAGCACCCATGGGTGTCAGCCTGAGCAGCGCCTTAATCCCGGCCTTAAGCGGATCCTGGGCTGGGATTAGGGGTAAATCCCAACCGGAGCTGACACGGTTCCGGCCCCGATGGGGGGTGCTGTGGGGCTGCCCCATTGCGGGGGGACGGGGGGGCAGACTGGGAGCACTGGGACCCATAGAGCCCGTAACTGGTGTCCGTGTGGCTGCAGGTGTGGGGCTGTCATGCCCGGGCAATGGTGTGGGGGGGGTCTCACCACACCACACCATGGGGCAGCCATGGGGCAGCCGTGGGGCAGCCGTGGGGCAGCGGTGGGGCAGCGGTGGGGCAGCTGCAGTCGCTGTGGGGCAGCGAGGAGGCGCCTCTGGGGCAGCGGCGGCTCCAATGGGGCAGGGGCGGCACTTGGGGGGCACCGGACGCACTTGGGGGGCAGCGGCGGCCCCGCCCCCCGGCCCGTTCCGGCCGTTGCGTTTCAAACGCGATCGCGGAGGGTGGGGGGGGGGTGGGAGGAGGGAGGACGCGTCCGATGCCCCGCCCCCTGCTTGGTGACGTCACTGACGGGCACCTCCCCCGACCAATCCGGTCTCCCCGTCCCAGCGCGGGCCCAACGGGCGGCCGCGCGCGCTCGGCCGGCCCCGCCCCCTTTGGCGCGCCGTAACTGACAGCGCTTCCCGCCAATTCCAACGGCCGCCGGGAGCGCGCCGGCCCCTCCCACGCCGGAGGGGGCGGGGCCGCGCTCCGCAGCCAATCACCTCTCGGCGGCGCTCGGAGCGGCGGCAGCCGCAGCCAATCGCAGCGCGGGCGGGGCGGGGCGCGGGGAGCTCCGGGTTCGCTCTCGGGCTCCGTTCGGGGCCCCCCCCCTTTCTTCCGCGTTCCCCCCCCCCCCCCCCCCGGCGTCCCCCCCCCTTTCGCGTCCCCCCCCCCCGTCCCCCCCCCCCGCGGGTTCTTCGCTGCGAAGAAAATGGCGGCGGCGCCGAGCGGGGCCGGGGAGAGGATGTGAGTGCGGGGGGGGGCGGGGGGGCGCGGGGGGGGGGGGGGGGGGGGGGGGGGGGGGGGGGGGGGGGGGGGGGGGGGGCTGTAAATGGAGAGAGGGGAAGGGAGGAAGGGGGGGGGGGCGGGGGTCCCGCCGCTTGTTTTCCCGCGCGCGCGCGCGCCGCCGCCAGACCCCGCGCGCGCGGCCCCCCCCCCCCCGCCCCATTTCCCGCCCCACACGTCCCCGCCCCCCCCCCCCAACTCCGGTTTCCCGCCGCGCGCGCGCGCCCGGGCGGGAACGGGAGGAACGGGGCGGGGGGGGGGGGGGGGGGCGGGGTGGGGGGGGGGCGCGCTCCGAGTGCGTCACAAGCGGCCGCGGCCCCCCCGGGAACGGGAGCGGGGACGGGAGCGGCCCCCCCGGCGCGAGGCCCCCCCGAGTGCGCCCCGAGAGCGGGACCCCCCCCCACCCCGAGGGGGGCGTGGTCGGAGCCCGATCCCCCCCATCCCAATGGGGGGACCCCCCCTCCCCTTTGCGGGTCCTTTAATGGGGACCCCCCCCAATGGGAACCCCCCCTTTGCAGGACAGGGAATGGGGACCCCGCCCCCTCATGGAACACCCCCCCAATCGCGGTGCACCCCAAAACCCCACTGAATTCACCCCAAAACGGGTGCCCCGAAACAGCCCCGATCACCCCAAAATGCTCCCGGCCGCAGCGCCCCGAAACACCCCAAAAGCGGCCGAATCCGCCCCAAAACGGCGCTCGCACGGGGCCCAGAACGCCCCGGATCGCACCAAAACGCTCCCGAGCGCGGCGCTGCCGATGGGCCCCGAACCAGCCCCAATCACCCCAAAAATGTGGCCTTTGGGGTGCCCCAATTCCCCCCAAATTACCCTGAATGGCCCCAAAACGCTCCCGGCCACCGCGGCCCCAAACACCCGGAAACGGCCCCAAACACCCCAAAATGTGGCCCTCCCGCGCTGCGCAAATCGCCCTGAACCGCCCCAAAATCCGCCCCGTCCCTTGTGCCCCAAAACCCCCCGAATCGGCCCCAAAATGAGCCCGAGGCCATCGCAGCCGCCGGGCCCCAAATCGCCCCGAAATGCCCCAAAACGGGGCCCAAACCCCAGGGAACACCGAAACCGGCCCCGAATTCCTGCCCAACGATCCCGAAAGTCCCCAAAATCCCCCAAATCGCCCCAAAATCGCCCCAAATCGCCCCAAATCGCCCCAAAATCGCCCCAAATCGCCCCAAAATCGCCCCAAAATCGCCCCAAAATCGCCCCAAATCGCCCCAAATCGCTGCTCCCGGGGCCATGGACCTGATCCCGGCACAGCCCGAGCATCCCGGTGGCATCGGGACGAGCCCGACACCCAGAGCGTCCCATAGAGAGCATCCCATAGGGACCATCCCATAGAGAACATCCCATAGGAGCATCCCATAGGGAGCATCCCGTAGGGAGCATCCCGTAGGGACCATCCCATAGGAGCATCCCATAGGGAGCATCCCGTAGGGAGCATCCCGTAGGGACCATCCCATAGGAGCATCCCATAGGGAGCATCCCATAGAGAGCATCCCATCGATAGCATCCATAGGGAGCATCCATTAGGACCATCCCATAGGAAACATCCCATTGGGTGCATCCATTGGGAGCATCCCATAGGAAACATCGCATAGGGAGCATCCCGTAGGGACCATCCCATAGGGAGCATCCCATTGGGATCATCCCATAGAGAGCATCCCATAGAGAGCATCCCATAGGGACCATCCCATAGGGACCATCCCATAGGGAGCATCCCATTGGGATCATCCCATAGAGAGCATCCCATAGGGACCATCCCATAGGAGCATCCCATTGGGACCATCCCATCCCAGCTCCGGGCTCCATCCCCATTCCCAGTGATCCCATAGCCTGGAGCCGGGGTTCCCCCCCCGTGTCCCATTGGGGCTCACCCCAGGGGGGTCATTATGGGATGGGCCCTGGGGGGGGGGGTGCTGTGGGTTTGGGGCTCCCCCCATGGCCTCTGGGCCATGTCCATGCCCCATGGCCTGGGTCCGGATCCGGGTCCTGGGTCCGTATCCTACATCCCATATCCCATACCCCGTGTCCCCATCCCATATCCCATATCCCATACCCCGTGTCCCCATCCCATATCCCGTATCCCACACCCTTATGCTGTATCCCACATCCATATCCCTTATCCCGCATCCCATACCCGTGTCCCGCATCTGACATCCCTTGCCCCATACCCATATCCCATATCCGTATCCCACGTTCCATATCCCGTACCCCATATCCTTATCCCGTATCCCATATCCCCTATCGTATACCCTTATCCCGTACCCCACATCCCATATCCCATACCCTTATCCCCTATCCACATCCCATATCCTGCATCCCCTATCCCGTACCTGTATCCCACGTCTCATCCCCTATACCCGTATCCCATATCCCATATCCCGTATCCGGGTCTCTTATTGTGCGTCCCACACCCGTATCCCATATCCCGCATCCCATATCCCACATGCTGTATCCTATACCGCATGTTGCATACCCTTATCCCGTACCCCACATCCCGTATCCCATTCCTGTATCCCATTCTGCACACCCTTATCCCGTATCCTGCATCCCGTATCCCATATCCCATTCCTGTCCCCATCCCACACACCCTTATCCTGTATCCCACATCCTGTATCCCATACCCGTATTCTGTATCCTGTATCCCACATCCCATACCCGTCCCCATCCTGCATACCCTTACACTGTGTCCTGTATCCCATATCCACATCCCATACCCGTATCCTGCATCCCACATCCCATTCCTGTCCCCATCCCATACACCCTTATCCCATACCCGTATCCCACATCCCATTCCCATCCTCATCCCGCACACCCATATCCTACATCCTGTATCCCATTCCCGTATCCTATTCCTGTATCCCACATCCCATTCCCGTCCCCATCCTGCACGCCCTTACACTGTATCCTGTATCCCATACCCATATCCCACATCCCGTATCCCATACCCGTATTCTGTATCCTGTATCACATACCCGTATCCCACATCCCATTCCTGTCCCCATCCCGTACACCCATATCCCACATCCCGTATCTCATACCTGTATCCCATACCCACATCCCATTCCTGTCCCCATCCCACCCACCCTTATCCCATATCCTGCATCCTGTACTCCATACCCATACCTGTATCCTGCATCCCACATCCCATATCCTGTACCCATATCCATATCCCATATCCCACATCCCATACCCACATCCCATACCTGTATCCCATATCCCGTACCCATATCCCACATCCCATACCCGTATCCTTTCTCCCGGTCCCCGCAGGGAGGAGAAGCCGGAGCCGGAGCCGCTCTCGGCCGTGCGGGAGCGGGCGCCCAAGGCCAAGAAGCTGAAACGGGAGCGCCGGGAGGGGCCGGAGCCGGAGCCGGAACCGGAACCGGAGCCGGAACCGGAGCCAGAACCGGAACCGGAGCCGGAGGCGGAGCCGGAGCCGGCCGAGGCCGGGAAAGCCGAGAGCTCGGAGGGGGGGGCGGCGGCGGCGGCGGCACCGGAAGCGTCGGCGTCGCCCAAGCAGCGGCGCTCGATCATCAGGGACCGGGGGCCCATGTACGAGGACCCCACCCTGCCCGAGGGCTGGACCCGGAAGCTGAAGCAGAGGAAATCGGGGCGCTCGGCGGGGAAGTTCGACGTCTACCTGATCAAGTGAGGAGATGGGGGGGAGGGGATGGGGGGGGGGGGGGATGGGATGGGGACGGGATGGGGATGGGATGCAGGCAGAATGGGATGGGATGCACCGGGATGGGGATGGGAGCGGAGCATGCTGGGAGGCATCAGGGTGGTATCAGAGTGGTGCTGGGATGCATTAGGATGCATTGGGATGTATTAAGACGCATTAGGACCCATTGGGAGTCATTAGGATGCACTGGGACGCACTGGGGACGCATTGGGATGTATTGGGACATAGTGGGATGCCCTAGGACGCGTTGGGACGTGTTGGGGACGCATTGGGACATACTGGGATGCACTGGGACACATTGCGGACGCATTGGGATGTATTGGGAAGCAATGGGACGCATTGGGATGCACTGGGATGCATTGGGATGGTACCAATAGGGTTGTGGGGTGTGTTAGGATGCATGGGGATGCATTGGGATGCATGGGGATGTATTGGGATGCATGGGGATGTATTGGGATGCACTGGGATGCACTGGGATGGTACCAATAGGGTTGTGGGGTGTATTGGGATGCATGGGGATGCATTGGGACGTGTTTGCACTCATTGGGATGCAGTGGGATGCATTGGGATGCATGGGGATGTATTGGGATGCATTGGGATGCCCTGGGACGCACTGGGATGAACTGGGACAAATTGGGATGCACTGGGATGCATTGGGATGCACTGGGACGCACTGGGATGGTACCAATAGGGTTGTGGGGTGTATTGGGATGCATGGGGATGCATTGGGACGCACTGGGATGCATTGGGATGTGTTGGGGATGCATTGGGACGCACCGGGACACCCTGGGCCCGCGCTGCCCCGTGCCGTCGGCGGTTCCCGGCGCTGGCGGTGACGGCGGCGCCGCAGCCCGCAGGGGAAGGCGTTCCGCTCCAAGGTGGAGCTGGTGGCCTACTTCGAGAAGGTCGGCGACACCTCCCTGGACCCCAACGACTTCGACTTCACCGTCACCGGGCGCGGGAGCCCCTCGCGGCGCGAGCAGCGCCCGCCCAAGAAGCCCAAAGGCGCCAAGAGCGCCGGCACCGGGCGAGGCCGCGGCCGCCCCAAGGGCAGCGGCGCCCCCAAAGCCCCCAAGGCGGCGGCCGAGGCGGTGCCCAAGCGCGGGGGGGCGCTGGAGAAGAGCCCGGCCAAGCTCCTGGTGAAGATGCCGTTCGCGGGCGGCGCACGCGGTGCCGGTGACGCCGGAAGCGGAAGCGGCGCCGGAGCCGCCACCACCTCGGCGCAGGTCCTGGCTGTGAAGCGCCCCGGCCGGAAGCGGAAAGCGGAGCCCGACCGGCACGGGGCGGCGCCCAAGAAGCGAGGCCGCAAACCGGCGGCAGGCACCGGGCCCGGCGGCGCCGGCACCGGCGGGGGAGCGGCGGCGTTGGCGGCGGCGGCCGAAGCCAAGAAGAAGGCGGCGGCGGCGGCGGCGGCGCCCGCGGTGCAGGAGACGGTGCTGCCCATCAAGAAGAGGAAGACGCGGGAGCCGGCGCTGCTGGAGGCGGCCAAACCGGTACCGGCGCCGCCCGAACGCGGTCCCCGCAGCCCTCGCGCCGCGCGCGGCAGCCCCAAAGGGCGCGGTGGTGGCGGTGCCGCGGTGCCGGCGCCCGGCCGGAGGGAGCTGGGGGGGTCTCCGGTGCCGAGCGAGCCCCCCCCGGGCAGCCCCAAGGACAGCGGCAGCGCCGCCGCCGCGCCCCCCCCCGCGGCGCAGGACTGCAGCGGCTGCTCCCAGCACCGCGGCGCCGCGGCCGCCCCCGACGGCTGCGCCACGGCAAAGACTCCGCTGGGGCGGGCGCCGGGGGGGGACCCCGAGGCCAAGGACGCTGCTTCCTCCTCCTCCTCCTCCTCCTCCTCCTCCTCCTCCTCCTCCTCCTCCTCCTCGTGCTCGTCGGCGCCGCCGCCCCCCCCCCGCCCAGCGCCGCGGTGCCGCGGCCGCCGCCACCGCCCCCCCCCCGCGACGAAGCGGTCGACACCAGGACGCCTGTGCCCGAGCGGGTCAGCTGACTGTGAGCCAACCAATCACGGACCCAGGATGGACACATTGACCCCTCCCTCCTCCACTGCCCCCCCTCCCTCCATCCCCCCCCATCACCCTGAGCCCCCCCCCCTTCCATCCCAGCCCCCCCCCGTCTATGACCGAGAAGCACAGCGAGGGCCCCCCCACAAGCACTAAAAGGGGGGGGGGGGTGGCCCCAGGGACCCCCCCTTGATGTGGGGGGGGTGAAGGGGGCTCTGGGGGCCATGGGGGGGGTTCGGGGTCCACCCCCCCTCCCCCAACGCCGCCGCTTCATTCGTTCTTCCAGTTCCGTGCCCCCGTTTTTAGGTAGGAACCATTTGCACTAAGGGGGGGGGCGCCGCCGTCCAATGGGAGCGGGGGGGGGGCGAGGAGGAGCCAATCAGAAGTGGTTTGGTGGGAAGGGGAATCCAGCGTTGAGCCAATCAGGAGAAGGGTATTGGGGTGGAGATGAGCGGGAAGTGGGTTTGAGCCAATCGGGATGGAGTTGGGATCCGCTCTGGAGCCAATCAGCAGGAAGGTTTTGAAAGTGATGGGAGCCAATCGGGAGCCGCTTTCAGCGTGGCTGGGGTCCAGCCTGGAGCCAGTCGGTTTTACTGATGGGCGGGATCTGGTGTGGAGCCAATCGGGAGCTCTTGGGAGGGATCCGGGGCTGGGCCAATCAGGAGCGGGGAGGCGGGTCCATGGGGTGAGCTGAGTGGCTGGAGGGAGCTTGGGGTCAGCCAATCAGAGGGGCTCAATGGCAGGCAGATTCTGGGTCAGTCCAGCCGGGAGCCAATCAGCAGCGGCTTGGGATTGGAGGATGGGCCTGCTCTCTGTCCAATCAGGAGTCGCGCTGTGTTAAGGCGGGATCCGGTCTGGAACCAACCAGGAGAGACGAGCCTGGAGCCAATCAGGGGTGACCGTGGGCGGGGCGGGATCTCGTTTAGAGCCAATCAGGAGAGTCTGTGACCTTGCAGCGGGATTGAGTCTGGAGCCAATCAGGAGCGACCATTGGGTGGTGGGCGTGGGCGTGTGTGTGTGTGTGGGGGGGCAGGATCCGCGCTGGAGCCAATCAGAGCTGGCAGCCGCTTGCGGCGGGCAGTGCTCCGGAGCCAATCAGCAGTGACCTGTGCCAGGGTGGTGGTGGTGGTGATGGAGGGGGGGCAGGAGCCAATCAGGCGCGAGCGTGTGGGACCCAGCTGACCAATGGGGTGTCATTGGGGGGTGGGGGGAGGTTCCCATCCCCGGGGGGGGCCCGTCCTGCACTTTACGGGGGGGGCCCCCCCTTTTGTTCTTCCACCCCCCCCGCCCCCCCCAGCCCCCCCCCCGGTCCCGGCTCCTCAAGGCAATAACGGGGGAGGGGAAGGGGGGGGATGGGACCCGCGGCGCCGGGGGCAGGATGGGGAGGGGCGGGCCCTGGAGTGGGGGGAGGGGCGATTCCATGGTGGGGGGTGGGGGGGGTCGCACCTATTTATTCGTTAGTGGCGCGAGATTTTGCCTTATAAATTTACATGAAACCCCCTCGGCTCTGCCTCTTCTTGGGGGGGTCCAAGGCGCCGCCCCCCCTTCCCCCCCCCATGTTTTTAGGTCCCCCCCCCCCCGCGTCGCCAAACCCCCCTCCCCCTCCCCCCGTCCCCCCCATCCCCTCCCTTCCCGGGCTCTGTGTCTGTGCTGGAGTGATCTATAAATCTGTGTGCACCAATGGCTCTGCGCTTTATTGGACCCCCCCCCTCCCCAATGCCCCCCCAATGGCCCCACCATGGTGGGTTGGGGGTGGCAGAGCCCGGATGCTTCCATTGGGGACCAGTGGATCCCAACTCGCCCAGTGGGGGAGGGGGGGCTCAAAGCGCCCCAGTGGGGTGGCTTGTGACGTCACCGCATCAGTGGTGTGACGTCATTGCATCCCTGAGTGTGACGTCACCGCATCCCTCGCCATCCCCTTTCCCTGAGCCCGCGCTGGAGCCTCCCGGCGGCGGTGACGTCATCGCGCGGAGCGCGGCCCCGCCCTTTTCCGTCCCTCGTGAGCCGCGCTCAATATGGCGGCCGCGACGTCACTGGGCGGGGATTATTAGCCACGCTCAAGATGGCGGCGTGGGCGGAGCCTGTTCTTAAAGGGGGAGCGCTTGAAGCTGGAGCCGTTGATCCCATTGGTGTGAATGGCGGCGCCGGTGGTACCGGGGGGGGTTCTGGGGGGTGCCCAGCCCCATTGAAGAGGGACTCGGGGGTCCCGGTTGCAATGGGGGAGGGTGCAAGGGGGGAGGTATTTGTGAGGTCCATTGCTCCCGTGCCCACGTGACCCTCCCAGAGCAGCGATCTGGACTGGGGCGTCCTGGGGTAAGGGAGGGGGAGCCCTCGTCCGCCAAGATGGCGGCCAGCAGAGGGCGCGTCCATGACGGGGAGGGGGAAGGAGGAGGCGCCCAAGATGGGCGCGGCCATGACGGGGGGAACGCCCCTTGCGCACCGTTTGCACCTCCCCTACCCCCTCCCTCCCTTTGCCCAGCCCAGGAGCCGCCGCGGGGCGGATTTGGGTCAAAAGCAGCCCAAATCAGGGACTTAGAACAAAAACCACCATTGTCGGAGCGTAGCGCGCATGCGCAGGAGGAGGAGCTGGGGTCTGCGGGGAGCGTAAGGGAAGCATCGCGCATGAGCCGCCCCGCCCCTGCCGCCAGAGCGCATGTGCGCTGCGCGCCCAAGCAGTTAGGCGCCATCATCCGGGTCCCGGGAAACGCCATCTTTGTGCCGGGTGGAGGAGACGCGACCAAAATGGCGGCTCCCAAGCGCCTGTAGTCGCCGGTGCGGACGGGCCCGTCTCGGCCTTCGGGAGCGGCAGCGGCGGCCCCGAGGGAGAGGCGGCGGCGGGAGGAGGCGGCGCCCGGTGCCCGCGCGCAGCCGGTGCCTGCAGGTGCGGAGCGGGGCGGGAGCGGCGCGCAGCGGAGAGCGGGCGCATCCGGGTCTCGCGGCGGCCGCCATCTTGGGCAGCCGCGGCCGCCTCCGCCATCTTGGGCCGTCGCATCCGGGCCATGCCCGGCGGGGGGGGGCACGGGACAAGGAGCGGGGCAGGGGGGAGGGGGGGCGGGGGGCGCGGCCCATATCCCCCTTCCCGCCTCGGGCAGGCGCCGCCATCTTGCCCGCGCTCCGAGGAGGAGGAAGAGGCGGAGGAGGAGGAAGATCCGGGAACCGGGCGGCGCCATCTTGGTCCC